TTCTCTTTTTGGACTTGATCTCTTTTGATTTGGTGGAGAGGGGGAAAGGCAGCTAGCCAGACAAGCACAGGCATTCACATTACATTAGGAGCATCACAACTCCCATCTTTTTGTTTAAACATCTCATTATACTTTGTTTTCTTTTCCTCTCTCTCTTATTGTTGCTTCTACCATCATCAGCGTAGAGATTGAAGGGTGCTCCTCAGATGTTGTTGGACTGCAACTCCCAGGATTCCTCATTATTGGCTATGCTGCATAAGGCTCCTGGGAGTTACAATTCAGGAACATGTGGAGAGCCACATATGCCCACCTCTGTTATAGCTGGTTAGCTCCTTAGGGCAGCTACTTCCTTGGTTTTTGTTGCTTCTGTTACAAAGAGCAAGGAAAATTGACAGTGCTGTGTAAAAGTACAGATCATAGAGAGCAGAATATACATTAGAGTGGGTAACAATATTGATTTATCTTACAGGGTTCTCATAATGCTTATACCTAGAGAAGGTACAGGGTGTTTGAACTCTTGAAACACTATATTATATGTCAAGTATTATAATACCTACCAATACAACTACAGTTGGCCCTCTGTATCCATGGATTCTTTATCCAAGGAGTCAACCATCCACAGCTTGCAAATATTTTTTAAAATATATAAATTCCAAAAAGCAACCTAGATTTTGCTTTTTTATATAAGAGATGCCATTTTACTGTGCCACTGTATTCAATGAGACTTGAGCATCCACAGATTTTGTTATCCATGGGGTGATGGTGGTGGTCCTGGAACCAAACCCCAGCAGATACCAATGGCCCACTGTACTCTTAGTAGTAATAGTAATAATAATCATAGTATTAAAATTGTTTGATTGTGATTTAGTTAAATATAGTGAAATTATATTATTATTATTATTATTATTATTATTATTATTATTATTATTATTACTTATTTATACAGCACCATTTTAATTCCTAGGACGTTTTAGGTTGATTGTAACTGAATATGTTTCAGTTTATTGTAACTTGGGAGTTGGAGTGGGAGAAATAACAGTGAACAATGGGCTTGCAAACCAAACAATATAAGATAAACTTCTCTTTTTGGACATATAATAAAACATTTATAACTATTCCAATAATATAAAATACTAAAATAATATTGCTGCCGTTAGTACACCCACACCAAATAGTTGCTACATTAAATAGCTCTTAAATACATAGATTATGAGAAGTTTATACTGTCTTGGTCTGAGCTTTTTTAAATGCAGAGGTGAAACACTTGGTTTTAAATGTGAATGTCTCATTGTGTTTATAAGAATCTGTTGTTACTAATAATAATTAGACAGAGATTGATTAGACTAGAGAGCCAGTGGGAAGACAAGTGAAATCTCCATTTGAAAACTAAGCAACTCTAATCTCCCACATTGAAGGCAAAATTTTAATTCTATCCATCCTTCCATCCATCTAGCTCATCCACCCATCTATCCATCCATGCAGAAGCAGTTTAGAATTACTGCTATTGCTACAGAATACTCCTGCTTAGAAGATACTGTGCAATACCTGCTGGCTCATGCTTTTCAATGTCACACAGTTCTGACTTTTTTCTTGCTTCTCCCAATCTGTTTAGGTTTAAAAATGTAATAGTTTCATCCTAATTCTAACCCTTGCATGGTACTCCCAGACCCAGATATTTTCATTCCTTTAGGGTTATAAATTGGAATAAAAATAACAGAGTTTTAATCTGAGGATTTCATGAACTAACGTCCAGAACACACTGCGGAAATAATCCAGTTTGAAACTGCTTTAACTGCCCTGGCTCAATGCTAGGAAATTCTGGGAACTCTAGTTTTGTGAGACATTTACCCTTCTCTGTCAGAGAGCTCTGGTGTCACAATAAATTACAATTCCCAGGATTCCCTAGGAGTGAGCCAGTGCAGTTAAAGCAGTCTTGAACTGGATTATTTCTGCAGTGTGTTTTGGACCAAAGTTTCCTTCACATTTCCACCATGCAGGATGTAGGCAGAGATTCAGGATCTCCGTTATGGAGGTGACTTTCAGATCATGAAAATGGCAAAGGGAGCATGGTACTAACAAATAATTGGGTTGGGTACAATTGGAGATGATAATCAATTGGGGGAAACTAAGGTATGATGTTGCAAACATGCATATGTAGTCAGGGGGAAAGAATAAATTGAATCTGCCCTGAAATAAGGAGCCAGACATCTCTCAGTTGTGATGCTGATAAGGAATAAAACAAGCTCATATGTGCCAAGAAAGGCAAAAACCATTAAAAAATAATTCAAAATAGTCCCAGGATTTTATAGGGGTAGCTAATACCCCAAAGGAGAGAGTCGGGATTCAAAATGATCTTGACAATTGGAGGCCTGAGCCAAAACTAACAAAATAGATTTCAACAGGATAAAAGACTACACAGCAGGAAAAATGAAATGCAAAATATAGGATGGGTGACACCTGGCTTTTTGATAGTACATGTAAAAAGGATCTAGGAGACATAGTAGATCACAGTGATGCAGCAGCCCCAAAAAGCCATCAACAAGATGCATCAACAAGAGCATGGTGTTCAGATCAAGGGAAGCAGTAGTGCCATTCATTCTAGACTGCTCAAATACTGTCTCCAGTCGTGTGCACTACCATTCAAGAAGGATATGGCCAAGCAGGAACGTGTCCAAAGGGGAACAACCAAGATGGTCAGATGCCTGGAAATGAAGCCCTATGAGGAATGGCTTAGCATTGCACAGCCACAGGCCCCTCCTCCGGCTGTTTCACTCATGAGCATTGTTTCATTTAGTATTTATTTAGAAATAGCAAAAAGTAATGCAACTGCGTAAGGAATCTGACCTCTACCAGCATGACACTTAGGGTGCATCTATACCAGGGGTCCCCGGACTTTTTGATCCGGGGGCTGGTTTGCTGGCTCCCAGATCTTCTGGAGGGCCAGAGGCATGCACGCATGCACATGCACACGACTCCGGCACCATTTTGTGTGCCAAAATGGCACCCGGAGTAGTGCGCATGCGCGTGGCACACAAAATGGTGCCCGGCATCGCGAGTGTGTGCGCGCACGACTCCAGTGCCATTTTGGATTCCAAAATGGCATCCGGAGTCATGCGCATGCACCCGGTGTCGCACGCTCATGCGCCCGCACAATGCCAGGCGCATGCACATGACTCTGGACACCATTTTTGAATCCAAAATAGTGTGTGGCGGTGTGTGCAAGCGGCGGCAGTGTGGCAGCGGTGGCAGCAGGAGGCCTCGAGGGCCGGGTCTGGCCTGCGGCCCGTAGTTTGGGGATCCCTGATCTATACTGTAGAAATAATGCAGTTTGACACTGCTTGAACTGCCATGGCTCCATCCTCCAGAATTCTGGGATTTGTTGTTTTGTGAGGCACCAGCACTCTTTGGCAGACAAGATCTTGTAAAACTATAAATCCTAAGATTCCATAGGATGGAGCTGTAGCACTTAGAGTGATATCAGACTGCTTTATTTCTACCATGTAGATGCAGACTGTGTCACACATTGGGTATAATGTGGGTTCTTACCCATGAAAACGGAATGTGTCATTGTATATTTCTGGGAGATATATACCATCTAGATATAGCCATCTAGATATTATTGGACTGGAGCTTCCATCATCACTCGCCATTGCTTGCTGGCTAGGGCTGATGAGAGATGTAGTCCCGTAACATCTGGAAGGTAATACATTCCCGATACCAGGTCTGATACCTTCAGATCATAGAACAGATGATGCTATGGTTGACAGGCCTGACTTGCCAGGCCAGTGTCCATAGAAATATAGCCATAGCCATGGCAACCTGTGATCTCAAAGAAACAAACCAACTTCTCCTAAGGCTTTTCTATCAGGTTGCTTGGCAACAAGTATCTCGCCACAGGATCCCATCCGCCTTGCACAGCTGTTTACAAGGCTGGGGTGTCAGATTTGCAAGCTAAGGCTATTGTGTTGGTACCTGAATTGCCAAGGACTAAGAATGACTAGGGGATGTCATGGGCTTCCCCCTTTATAAGACATTCTGGGCAGAAGCTCACGGTTAAAACAATCAGAAAATCTTTGCAGTCTGAAAATCCACATTCCTCATCTAAATAGTCAGCAAAAGATCCCTTTGCTTGAATTAATTTAGTTCCCCTCCCTGCTCGAGGTGTGTGTGTGTGTGTTGCAAAATGCACCCTTCCTTTTGCTCCCAAAAAGGTAAATGTAGGAGAAGACTCAACTCCAATAAATAGACTTGGGCACCTATATCATCATGTCATCGTGTTTTTCTGAATTAAAACATTGAGATCTTACGGGTCAAGGAGGTATCATAAAATAAATGAATAGCAATGCACATGCTGCAGGGGTTGCTCTTTCTCCAGCGCATTTTAATTCTTTTTCACATCCCTTGCCTTTACCATCTTTATGAGCTTCAAAGGGATTGGACCCTGCCAATAGCTATTCATGGCCTCTTTAAAGAATTCTGTGCGCTTAAATATTTATCCAGCAACCTTTATTGCATTTTGGGAGAGATCAAATTGTCTTAGATGATGGCATTTAAAATAACCCCAGCTTTTTTGTGTGCAAATTAACTCTGTCTGTGTGTCAGTGCATACACACACTTTAAAGGAGGAAAGTTTACACCTTAAAAATGAAAATACCTCCTGTATAGGTAAAGCTCTACCTGATTGAATACTCCCCACAAACCAAACCAGATCAACCAACCAAACAGAAACAGTGTGTACTTAGAAACACAGCGCATCAGAGAAAATGGAAGGCTTAATTATTTTATGGGGTTTGTGGAAGCATTTAAACATATTAACCTACTTCTCCCACATTTACAGTCTCAAAAGGTGTAGTCTAAGTGAAGTTTCATCACACGATTCTATTGATTATGTACATTGGCTCTTAAATGTAAAGTTTGTAATCTGCACTGAAAAGTAAAACTCAATGACATTTTTAAAATGGCTGAAGGTTTTGGCCTTTATAAATTATGTTTAAGTGAGAGCCAGCGTGGCATAGTGGTTTGAGTGTTGGACTACGACTCTGAAGACCAGGGTTTGATTCCCGCTTGGCCATGAAACCCACTGGCCTTGTGCAAGTCATACACTCTCAGCCTCGGAGGATGGCAATGGCAAACTTCCTCTGAACCAATCTTGTCAAGAAAACCCCATGATATGTTCACCTTGGGGCCTCCATAAGTCGGAAACTACTTGAAGGCACACACTACTACTACCACCACCACATTTTCACAGTCCCTCCCCCTTTGGATAAATTTATACTACATGGTTTGCAAGTCAGCCTACTTAGTTGCTGGTTTTGCTAGGCATGGGAAAGAAGGAACTATATAGGATACTGAAGGTACATTACGCCACCCAGCCATTGGAAATCTTATTTCTGGCTTTCAGAAAACATGGCATATTCAAGTATCTTCTTGCAAACATGGAGGCTAAAAATGGCAGTGCAAACCTATATCTAATTTATCCAGAAGTAATCCATATGAATTAAACGGGGTTTATTCTCAGGCCAGTACATACAAGATTTTAGTCTTGTGCTCTTAAAACATCAACAGTGTGTAAGCTGAAATTCTCAAGAAGCTGCATTTGCATAAAATCTAGGTTTCCTACCTCTGATCTGGGTCTAACTATGCTCCCAGTCACAACAACCCTAGTGATTGATGGGGTTGTATGCACAATGAAATTCATAGTTCCACTTTTCCTGCTGCAGAAGGATGCAGATTGCAGTGTAATCTTAGGGAGCCCAAAAATGACTTTTTCCAAGGAGAATTATGCATTGATCTGCCATTATGCAGCACCCTAACAAGAGGAACATGAACGCTTCTGATTGAAGGCCTGCATCCTGCAAATAAAAGTAAAAGCTTCTCTAAGAGCTGTGTTATATGTTAGCATCTTTTACTATTACAAGTAATTCAGCTTTGAATGTCAAGCTTCTGCAGATGCTCAGATTGGCATTCTTGATAGAGCACCGTTATTCTTTGAAAACCTCCAGCATTAGAGGTTTTCCCTACCTCCATTATTCTTGGCTTTTGAGAAAAGGAGGCAGTGGGAAGGGGTCCTTAGAGAATGCTTTACCTTCTTGTTCATCATTTGATAGCTGCAAATAACAGGTAATCTGTAGCATATAAACAAAGCTTTTGAGATCCAGTGGGAAATGCATGCTTCCTGATGTTATCTTGAATACTTCATTTTTAAATATACAGTCCACATGGACAACAGATGCAGTGTAAACCAGTCTATTTGTGCAGAAAATCACTATCAGAGAAGTCATGGCACTGGGGCAGGTAATAAAAAGGAGACCCAGAAAACCTATATGTATGACAATTTTTGAGGAGAGCTGGCAGGTAGGTGTGCCACCAAGTATAATAACTTCCATCATCAGCCATTTGCACTGTATCATGTATCTTCTAATGCTGGAGGTTTTCAAAGAAAAGGAACTGCTATGTTCCTTTGAATTTGAGATCCTGTACGGTTAAACTCAGACATTTTAAACACAAACTTTACAAAACACGGAGAGGTCCTTGCAAGAGGTGCTCCTGATGAAAGTCCCAGCAGGTGCGTGCTTAAACACCAAGTTATATGAGACAAAGCTGAACAATTGTACAGAATCTAGTGTCTTGTCTCAGTTGTTATCAGGAAAACAGAAAGTTAGGCTACAGGTCAGGATGTGAAAATCTGTTAGCTTAATTTTCATCACATTTTCCAAAACTTAACACTATTCTCATCCTGTCCACATAGGCTGCAAGACTTTTTTGTTCTTCCCACACAGAGATTAATTTGTATTTTAGTGCCTACTTTTTCCCAAAATGTATACATTTTTGTAAGCTTTATTTTTAAAACTTAATGTATACATTATGCTAATGTACAGCGTAATGTACACAAGGTGTCTGGGTGCTGTACTTTTATTGTGATTGCTATGTTTTAAGTGATTTTATCCTGTTTTAAAATGCTCACCTTTTAATATAATAGTTCATTTGTTTTTTAACCTTTGTATTATTAGGATTTTTAAAAATACCACCTTGTTACAATCTATGATGCAGGCCACCTTGAGTGCCATGTTAGGAGGAACACAGCATATGTTTAATTTTAAAAAATTATCAATCATTATAATATATATAATATAATATATATATATATATATATTTATGGTTATTTTATTATAATTTATTTGTTGTTGTGTGCCTTCAAATCATGTCTGATTTATGACAACCCCAAGTCAGAACCAAGATAGACAAACCCTGACATGGGCTTTTCTTGACAATATTTGTTCAGAGGAGGTTTCCCATTGCCTTCCCCTGAGGCTGAGAGCATGTGACTTGCCCAAGGGCACCCAGTGAGTTTCATGGCCAAGCAGGGAATTGAACGCTGGTCTCCAGAGTTATACTTGAATGCTGAAACCACTATGCCATGCTGATTTCTATTATAAATTCCTCCTTATGAACGCTCAGGGCGGGTAACCATCTACATTTTTAAAAAAATCACAAGTTACAAATATCTAAAATCAGAAATCACACATTTGTGATTACATGAATAACACACATTTCTCTTTTGAACATAAGCATTGCTTATATATAGACTAGATATAAGAGATAAAACAGAACACAAAAGGATGTATGCCATGCTAGGGTTTCGTTTTTTTCCAAAAACCCTTGCTGACATCATTTTAAAACTGAAAGATTGGTTGAGATGAAAACCAGAGTCTCTTGGGGTTGTATCACAGTAATTCTGTCCTATTTCAATCATGCACATGGTCTTTTTATGTTAAGCAGCAGAATAGGCTGCCGCAAGGGTATTAAGATGAATGGCATGCCTGGGTGTATTTTGCGTTTACTATTTTTTACTTATGCTTCTGCTCGGGAAAAATAATACACATTCTGAGAAAGCAAAACAGCAGGGATTTGCACGAAATCTTCCTTGTATAACTGGTAGTCGGTTTTGTCACTGATTTTTGTCCTTTCATGGAAGCAAATCATGAGTTCCAAACATCATTTTAAGAAATCATAGCGCCAGGAGAGGAAATTGCTCTCCTGGGGAACAGGTAGAAATTTTAGAGCTATGTACCAATGACCTCTTGCAGTTCTACTCATTGTTTGTAATTGTAAACAGAGTCTGGGGAATTTTTTTTATCCAATTTGTCCAGCGGAAGGAGAAATTTTCCAACATTTTCCTGGGTAGAGTTGCCAGATCTGGAGGATCCTTGGCCTTCAGATTTCATAACCGGGATGACCAAAGCTCCTAACTGCAATGGAGGACAAGGCACCGCAAAATGTAGGACATTTAAGGAAAAATGGAGGCCATTACAAAATAAAAGCTAAAAAAAATCATTAAAATATAAATCCATGCTTCTCAGTCATGCTCAAAATAGAGAACATTTTGGAATTCCTCTTGAACAGAAGGTTGAAATGTAGAACATGTCTGGAAAAAGGTCATCTGGACACCCTGTTTCATAACCAAAACCTGAGAACTAAGGATGACCTCTTTGTGACAACCCAGGGGACAGGTCATGGCGATGCCATTAAGTATATTTATTGACCACCAGGTAGTGCTTGGACTCTGGAGACCAGGGTTCAGATCTCCACTTGGCTTTGGTAAACCCCAGGAGCCCTTGGGCAAGTCACACTCTCTTAGCCTCAGAGGAAGGCAAAGGCAAATCACCTCTGAACAAACCTTGCCAAGGAAACTCTACGGCAGGTTCACCTTAGAGTCTCCGTAAGCCCAAAAGACTTGAAGGCACACAACAACAGCAAAAAATTGCTACGGGGAACATGTCATTCAGATAAGAAACACACAAATCATAAAGTCTGATAAATGAGACAAGAAAGGAAGAGGGGGAAATTTCTGGAGGATCTATAGAGTTTTTCCAAAACAGATTGAGGGCCAGCAGCATACGGGGAGAAAAATAATTTCTTTTCAGGGTAGTGCCTATCCTGAGATTCTTTCCATCTTTCCATGGCCTTCAGATAAGCCTTCAGATCTGGAAGCCCTACAACCAACCATTAACAGTGGAAGAGATCCTTTCCTTTTTTCTTCTTCTAAGTTTGTTCCTGCTGTTGAAATTGTGTTAGCAGCCTGCTCACAATGTTGCATCATCCACAATGAGCTGGAGCTAGCAACACTTTATGTGTGGGGGAATATCAGCTCCTATTAAAAATAGGTAGACAATATTTAGGGGAAAATTCCACAAAGTGGCTCCTCCCCCCCCCTTTTTTTTTTTTAGGAAAACAAGAAAAAGAGAAATCCCAGGCATTCTCAAGCTCTTGTGTGTTAGGCGTATTCATAATAGGCAAGAACATGACAGTTCTGAATATTAAGTTCCAAATAGTGGGGAGAGTAAGTAAACCCTACACTCAGAAGCCTGTCCCATTGATGGGACATACTCTCAGTTGCAGCCAAAGAGTTGATTCTTTATCAACCTCGAGGATTTCAAAGTCTTCATTTAGCCAAAGCTTGGAATTGGAGATAAAAAGTGGCCGATACCCCAAGATATGAGATATTAAAAGATTTTCGAAATAATGTTTTTGCCACAAATAACTGGACGCTAAGGCAAGAAAATGTTGCTGTTGTTATTATACCTGCCATGTAGTCAACTTCAACTTATGGCAATCCTGTGCATGAGAGACCTCTATCTAAGTCACCCTATTATCAACTATGCTGCTCAGGTCTTACACACACAGGGTTGTGGCTTCCTTGACTGAGTCTATCCATCTGCAATGCAAAGTACAATAATATCCACAATCCACAAAACAGTGATACCTTTAATAGGGCCAACCAAAATGCACAAAATGTATATGGCAAGCTTTCAAAGCACCATCAGGCAATGGTGTTAAAAACATACCAAAAAAAAACAGACAAAGAAACTATTAAAAAATTGTCATAGCCATAGCACTGCTTGTAGTTAGCTGCCTTCTGTTGTACCCTAGTAGCTCATTGAATGCCAACTGACTTGGGAGTCTCCTCTTCTGGCACTATCTCTCGTTTCATTTTGATTTGTCTTATCATAGGGTTTTCATGATAACAGACATTTTAAAGGGCTTTACCATTTCTTTATCTGCTCAGTACA